AATGTTGTGTTTACAACTTGTTTCTCAAGTGACCCAAAAATCAGTTTTCAGGTTTAAACAGGTGTAAGTAGGTGTAAACACTTGCACAGAACTCAAAAGAGATGGATTTTAAAAAAGAAATGTCAAAATCAAAAGTCAAGATATCCTGAGTTTTAGTTCCTTGTATGAGTGAAGCTCCAAAATTGCTGAATCTCACTGTACCCATAATGCAACTCAATAGTGTCTTTCTTTAGATTTCCCCCAAACCAAACCAATTAGCTGAGAACACCTGAGAGCAGACATTCATTCTCAGTGGGATTAACAGTACTAACAACCTTTTCACAACAGATGAGGTAAACTGATGAATGTTATTATATTTTAGAGCTTTACAGGAACTCTATGTCAGAAGAACTTTATACAGCCCCAACCAGAGTCAGTGAAAACTAAAATTTGACAGTGTTGTTACTGCTGCTGTTTGTTGTTTAGACCCTAGCCACTGGGCAGCTCAGTTTCCCAGCTGTGGAGGATTACGCCAATCACCAATTAACATTGTCACCAGCCAAGTGCACGTTGACAGTGCCCTGCAACCGTTCGACTTCATCGGTCACACCAACACATTCAACATTACAGTGGAAAACAAAGGACACTCTGGTAATGAAAAGCCCACTTTATTGTTCTCTTCCCATCCAGATAATGTTTTGCCAGATATTTAACACCTGAGGTTTATTTATAGACTATTTAAATAAATTTAATATCTGTTTTAAGAGTCGATCTCTTCCCCATAGCTCACTTTGCTTTGCCGCAGTCAGTCCGACTGACTGGAGGAGCTCTGCCTGGTCACTACAGAGCTGCCCAGTTTCACTTCCACTGGGGAGGCAATGGGAGACCAGGATCAGAGCACACCATTGACGGGGAGAGGTTCCCCATGGAGGTACATCACACAGGACCCAAAATATAATTTGCTGCTATGAAAAATTAAGTTGGGACAGTTTCTTTTTCAGTCTTGTTAATTGGATGGCCACCATTTTACAAGCATGGTGGAAATGCAAGCATGTTGTCGATATGTTTTGTTTGTTTATTACTTTAAATAATTTAAGTAGTACTGTAAGAGTTACAGCAGTTTAAATTAAGACTCATAAAAACATTCATATAGCAAATGTGTCTTCTGTGTTGCACTACGAGACTAGAATCGTTTAAAAGGGAACTGTTTAAAAGGGTACTCATTTCATTAGATGAAGAGGATTATAATTTGAGCGTTATTTATCTGATAAGTTTAAGATATCATTACTGCACAATGCACAGTTCATATAGGCTGGTGCAGCATGAGGCACAGTAGCCTCTCTTGTGGAGCAGTATAACATGGTATAAGGGCATTTTTATTGCGATTTACATGAGCATGCATATATATATATATAGAGAGAGAGAGAGAGAGAGAGATATCCCTACCTACCCTTTTTGAATTTGTTTATCCACAAAGCTATCAACTAATCAGAGGACGGTTAATGTTATATTAACAAAGATGCACTCCACTATACTTCAACAAATGTTGTTGTGGTTTGGATTTCCAGCTACATATAGTTCACATCAAGGAGCCGTACAGCTCTCTGGCAGAGGCAAAACATGACATGGCGGGTATAGCTCTGCTTGCCTTCTTGTTTGAGGTAATACATTAAGATGTATTCATCTTCATCTTCATTCTTAATAAAATGTTAGGCTTGTGCCATAATGTTGATGGTGTCTTCCTCTCAGGAAACAACAGATGATCATCCTCATTTGGACACAGTAATAAATGCTTTGGGCCGAGTACAAAACAATGGTATGAGCTTTAATGTTAAGTCCACTTGTAAAAATGTGATAAAATGAACTTTTTATAGTATAAATCCAATTCCTAACTTCTCTGCCCTTCTTAATATGTTAAGGCAACAGCACAGTGATCCCAAACTTTCGTCTCAGTGACATAATCCCATCAGCGGAGGAGCTCCACAATTATTACCGCTATGTGGGCTCCATGACAACTCCAGGATGTGAACAGGCAGTCGCCTGGACGATGTTTCACAAGACCCTGTCCATCAGCAGTCGACAGGTGAGCAACTACAGATTGATTGATTGATTGATTGATTGGGTTAGCAAACTTTTGACAAACTAGTCATCCTGGTTGTATTTCTTAAACACATGGGTCAACCTTCAAACTGACTTTTAATACAAATATAGATACAGTCAATTCTCATGAAGTTCTTTAAATGATTAATAAATTACTACTAGAGATGTTATATCTCAAGGCAAAATAAAACTTTGTTATTAAATTTCTGGGAAATAAAAAACAAGAAATGTCTTTTGGAATGACTTGAATTTTTAAGACCTCGAAGCTTAACATTGGAAAAATGGAAAGTAAATATCTGAAGAATAAGTAGTAATCTGTGAGTCACTGAAAGAAACATTAATGTCCCGTTTTTTTGAATTTATACTGCAACATTTGACTAAAAAAGGTAGAATCTGCATCTTTTCTGTCGTGTATAAATGTCAGTCCTCCATCATTTGATCTTTTTTACCCTCACTCCACTGCAGCTGGATGCAATAGCTCAGCAGTGTCGATTCTGGACAGGACAGCCTATGACTGACATCTTCAGACCTACGCAGCCTCTGGATGGCAGAGTTGTGTACCGGTCCAAGGCGAGTGCAGCTCTGAAGAGTGTGATCCACTTGTGGTTTGGTGTTTTCTCAGTTGTGCTCGGGACAGCGGGTCTCATCCACTGACTCAGAAGACACCTGATTTAAGTGACAAAATCTAGTACTGTAGAATCAGAAGTAGAATCAGAAGGAGCTTAACTGCCAAGTAGTGTTTTACACATACGAGGAATTTGCTGTGGTGATAAGGTGCTACACGTAGACAAACATATAGTCAACATAAATAAATGTAAAAATATATAAATATGGAATGGAAGTACAACGTTGCAGATATATACATGTGCATTATTCTGGGTCTGTGCCGTGCAGAAGTAACGCAACAAAAGAGAATACTGTGTACATAAAAATATACAACAACAAAGATCAACAATCAACAACAAATATGTATGAATAAAGGCAACTTTTACCTGTGTGATAGTGAAACAACAATTAATTAGTTATGTTTATGGTTATTCATTTGATAAAATGTCAATTGCATTTGCACACAAACTATGGCCCGCTAAATTCCTCGACTGCTATGACAGTGAGAGAAGATATTGTGCAAATTGAATGTAAGCTACTTTGTTTGTTTTTCCACAACCTTGAAGTGAGCCGACTGTACCATAGGGGGTGAGAAATCTTCACCTTCTGTAACACCTTGATATATTTGTCTGGTAATCACTTTGTCCAGACTGAAAGATCTTAACAATTATTGTTTGGTTTGCAATGATCTTTGGTAAACACATTAATGCCCCCCTGAGGATGAATTATAATAACTTAGGCGAATCTTTTACTTTTAATGTAGCACCATCATGAGGTCAAAATTTCATTCTGTCAAATAATGACATTCCCTTCAACCTTTCTGTATAGTGGTAATTGGCTAATGTTAGCATGCTAACACGCTAAACATGGTAAACATTATACCTACCAAACATCAACATGTTAACATTATCATTTTGAGTATGTCGACATGCTTTCACATATTTTAGCTTTAGACTTTAGAATATAGCTCAAGCTGCCTACAGTACAACAGTACAACCTCACACAGCTGCTAGCATGGATGTAGTCTTGTTGCTGCTTGTGTGTGCACATGTGAATATAAGGACCTCTTCAAATAGAGTTTACTTGCTCACAAGAATTTTACTTTTAATAACTAATCTGTCTGCTACTCAGTCTGTGTGAATGTCAATATCCTGCAGCACATAAGGAGTAGGGATCTTTACCTCAGCAGGCCGTTATGTCAGCCTTCCTTATTTTTGTTGTCTTTTGGAGTCAGTCGATGTTCTATATTCAGACAGTATGGCTTTAACTCTAATCTGCTTTTCCTTAAATGTATTTTCTAATAAAGATAAAAAATAAGTGTTAATAAGAATAAGGGTTTACAGTACATTTTATAATAAACTGGGGGACTTTCCTTTTTCAATAACTGCTATTTTTTATTTACTTGTTATATATATTATTCTTTATACTGTTGTTCAGACGATTGAACATAGAAAATAAGACGATTAAGGTATTTCCTAAATTTACTGTACACTTTTTTATTTGTGGGAAAACCAAATGAGTTATAAATGTACATAAATACCTTTGATACTCTGCCTGAGTAACAACTTCTTCTTTATTCCTGGTTATATGACCCTCTTTAATTGCTTAATACATTGGATTGTATATAATCAACAAGTGAATTTAATTCTTGTAGGATTACGAGTGAGAATTTAATACGTTTACAATAGGAATGCTCTCATTGGGCTTTTTAATCAATAATACCACTTTTGATTTCATGTCAATAAAATCTGATCACTGATGGACTTTTACCTAACCTTTTGTCTATAGAAACCAATTTGCCTTGCCTTTTACACAGACACACACTTAGTACACAGACATGTATACGTTACATTTATTCATTTTATTACTTACTTATTGCTATATATGTCAGAGGTCACACGCCTCTGGAGCAACTAGGGGCTAAGTGTCTTTCTCAGGGACACATTGGAGTCTCACAGTGGATTCGAACCCAGGTCTCTCACACCAAAGGCATGTGTCTTATCCACTACATCATCACCACCCCAGTTTAATGACATCAGTGAGTAATAGCAGATATGTTACCATTAAATTCACTAGACAATTAGTACACCACCCATGTTTTACTGATATGGCTGCAACTTTGGGCACACAATGACTGATAAACATCCGTTATTGTCTGATAAACATCCGTTATTGTCTGCTGTAAAAGAATACTTGCCTTTCTTTGCCATTAAAGAGCAGTGTCTTGAGTCTGTGTTGGTCAAGACAGGAAAATAGCCACAGATGCTTGTGTGGTAGAACTCAGTCAGTCTTAATGAATCAGAACGAAAAAACAGTTTGAGTAACATTTCTTTATTTTGTCCCCTCATTTACACAGGTCAGGTCCTTTGTAACACTTGTGATCTGTGCAGGATCATTTAAAGCATCCCTAGGTCACATATCAACCAACTGACATGGCACACTTACTTTAAAAGAAGAGGGGGAGAATGAAAGGCAACATGGTTTTCAAAGTCATAAAAATATCACTTTGACCTAAATCTGACATTTCATACTTGGTAGTCTAAATGGTGGCAATAAACCTGATTCAAATTTTTAAGGTGAAATTCGGTCAAAGTCACTGAACCTGTTTCTTCACCCAGTTCCTCAGGTGTTCCACCTGTGCAGTAACGCTACTCTTGGCTGTGCCTCCAGGGGCGCTATACTGCTCCACACTGCTCCTGTAGTCCCACACTGAGGACACGTCACTTTCATACAGAGGGCTAAAATGACAGAACATAAGAGAAAAAGAGAGGGCATTGAGAAAACGGATGAAGAAGATACTAACAGAGGAAGTAAAATTCTACTAATGCTGTTCCCTGAAACAAAATGTTATGTTAAATGTTAAGGGCTTTTAGGTGTGTGTGTGTGTGTGTGTGTGTGTGTGTGTGTGTGTGTGTGAGAAAGAGAAGAAGACAGTCACCTGACAGCACTCAGGTCCTCCACAGTGAGTTGATTAAGGAGGATGTTTTTGGATTCAGCTGCGAACACAGCTTTACCAGAGATGCCATGGGCCTCTCTGAATGGCACCTGAAACACAGAATGACACAGGGTCACACTGTAACGATTAAAGACATGTAAAGCCATTAAATATACCAACACTATAATATTTTTGCTATTATCTTGTTTGTCTCTATGTGACATACAAAGTTTTTCATCCAGCAGTTTCCTATTCTCTGTGGTTCTTGTCAAATGGAGTCACCAGAAATTCAAAACAATGCAGCAATATAGCAAAGGAGTTTGTCACCCACTGTTTTAAAGCCAAAAAATAGAATTAAAAAAGGATTACAAAATAACTAAACAAATGCCAGACAGAAATTGCACATTATGTGTGTGGACAGCTGAAGCAAATTCATTCATGTTGAAAAATAGCTGATAGCTGTGTACCTGCCTGCTTTTCTGCCACTCCTAATTTACTGTAATCTTGATACTGCCACTTATTATTATATTATAATATTTACATTACTATATTTGATTAAACAAACATTGACTTTTAATTTCTTTTTGAAGTAAATTTCTTTAAAATGGCTTATTGGTATTGTTATCACAATTTGCATTTGGGAATATAAACACTACTCACCCCCTTCCTCACAAGGTAGTAGGCCAAATCAGTAGCCAACATGTCAGGACTGAGGGCCGCTTCCATCACACTCTGGTTAATCTGAAACAGGAGAAACATCAAAGGAAACAAGATCATTGTCATTTTGTCTTATGAGGCTTACAACATTATTTTGCATGAATCACTCAAACACACACACACACACACACACACACTTGTGTGTCACAATGTGCCATTTCCTATTTAGGCAGCAAGGGCTGCTAAATAATATTCTGCCTTTTCCACTTCTTACTAAAAGCACCTTCACGTAAATAAATGAAACTTGCAACCTTCACTTACATGTACAATATGCACAACTGAGGAAGATCTTTCATACACTGCAAACTGTATCAGCTTGTGTGGCCTGACATTAAATTAAATCATAATCATTGTAACTAGTTAAAACCATCTCCTCTTTTACAGTTTGTGTTTAAGAAAATGCTAATGATGACTTGCACTGGAAGATCATAACAAGGCTGCTAAAACCTCTAACATTTTTAAGAGTAAGATCAGAAAATATTGTGCAAAGTACAGTCAAAATTGTTATCTATACAATTTCAATCAACCACATCATACCAAGACCAAGCAGTTCCTTCAAAATAATTAACAATGACTTAAATCTCTGACCTTGAGAGTTGACATGACTCCAGTTGTCACCTGCAGCACAGCATGAACAGTATCATAGCAGTCAAACATGGCCTCCTTATCCTCCTGAAGAAGGTTGACAATGGCACAGACAGAAGGGCAAAAAAAGTTAAAAGTGAAAATATCCAGAAAAATGTCCTTCCGATGAAGTGAACGCACACAAAGATAAGCTTTTATACCTGCAGGTCTTTGTTGTAGGTGCTGGGCAGGCCCTTCAGTGTCATCATGAACCCTGCACACTGACATACAGACAAGGAAAAACATACGAAGTCATACAAATGACTAAAGAAAGCAGTAAAGTGTGTCAAAGCACAGCAATTCTTAATTTGGTGCTCTGCTTCTAAAAAGGTAAAAAGATTCACCCATAAAGCTTTGACCAGTAAAACTTGACTTTTATACTCTGGGCTGCCAGGGTTTGAGTCTGTAGCAAAACTAGTGATAAGTTTTTGGCACATGAGGGCGCTGATTTTCAGGAGAGCTTCCAGCAGATTTTCTGCAATAAATGCACTCTTAACATATCAATCCTCTTCTAATAAGTAAACGGGATTAATGGCACTAAGATATCACCACTTCATTTCACAAAGACATGTTAAAGAGCCTTTTCAGCATCATTAGTATTTTCACATTATGCATGTTTTTACATCATCTGACCAAAAAAAGGCTAATCTTTAATAGGAGGTCTTACACTGCCAAAGACACGACCTGCTTTACTCCTGATCAGCTCCAGACTGTCAGCATTCTTCTTCTGGGGCATCAGACTGCTGCCTGTGCTACACACACACACACAGCATAAAAGTATATGTGAGCAGAAACAAGGAACATTTATACACGCACAATTAATGTCTAGGCCTCATGAAATCAGCAGCAGTTCGTAGCAGTAACACAGATTTAAAATGAACCTCACAGGCTAGAGAGATCACTTTGATAACATGCAGTGTGAGGTAATTTAGTAAAATAAATACTAGATGTACTATTCCATCATCAAATAGAATAATGACTAATGAGCCTTAAAGGTTCAGTGTGTAATGTTAAGGAGGATCTATTGACAGAACTGCAGTATAATATACATCATAAAGACCTTACATAGTGAACCGTTGTGTTTTTATTACCACTGCCATGTTTCTACGGGATAAACGACTCTTCAGAGCATGTTTGTCACTACGTTGAATACGTTCGAAGACGAAGTAGAAGTAATAAAAGAAGTGAAATTTAGACCAATGGAGGCCCACACACATTATTTAGCAGAAGAGTCAACAGATCATGTCAGCCACTGTAGCTTCTCCTGTACGCTTGGAAAGGGAAGCGGTGAGTGATGGACTGATGGTGCATTCATGTGGTGTCGGAATAATCAGAATCTTTTTTTACTCCTCAAATCTTTATAGCAAAAGTAGAAATATATTGTATATGGGACATAAAGAAGTATATAGAACTTTGATTCGTTCAAAATAACGTATTGCATACACATATTTTGCAAACATATATTTTGTAATATGGTAAAAATGGTTATTTTGCCGTCTAGAACTAGATGTCTGTGTTGTTTATATTCTCTGATAATGCTAATCCAACACATCTTTGTAGTAGCATCCATGTTGATTCCACATTCTGACTTAAGAGCACAACAACGCACACTGAAGTCGGAAGAACGACTTTACAACTCAGTAAAGGAGCACATGAATGCATCGTGAGCCACTATTTGCAATTCGCAATCCTCACCACCAGATGCCACTAAAACTTACACACTGAAATATTTAATAAGGCATGCATGAAAGGGTGAGATCAGTAACTATTATAATTTGCCCAGACATTTTAAAATATTTACTATATTGAACTAATGAATTGCTGTAAGGCACAATGGATCTTTGTACAAAAGCCACAAAATAATGATTTAATCTAAAGGTTGTGCAGCCTTAAGTCGAACGTGCAAACAGTAATTTGGTGTCACATAATGAAAACACAAACTGACCTGTATGCGTCAGAGAGTGTGACGAAGGAGAACTCTTTTGTGCTGTACAGCATCAGGTCCTCAGCCATCTTACTGAGATGCGTCAAACACAACGAAGCCCAGAACAAAAACTCCACTGAAGAAAGATACACGCATGCAAACATAAAAAAAGAAGCTTTGAGAGACCATTTCATTGTAATGCATTTCCATTGTTCATACCAATTTATGTTGGACAGCTGACTGACATGTATGGCTTACGTACAAACAAAGTCCCTTTGGCCCGTGGCATCCATGCTGTTTAGACTGATACCATCAAACTCCAACTCTACAGATCCAGATGAGGAGAAATTATATAGTTTCAGTTTTTAAAAATATTTATTTTATAAATAAACCAGACATTGGTGAAAGACAGCTGTAACAAACGTGCTCTCAAATATTTTGGTAGGACAGTAATAAGTAGCCTGACCTTTCCGCAGCAGCTCCCTGTCAATATCAAATGGTGTTCCAGCGATTGCACCACTAAAAAAACAACAGGATTCATTCTTATTAACTGATCATGTCTGTGGGCGAAAATCATTGGCAGACAGCGAGAGTGAGTACACAGCGTACCTGCCCAAGGGTAGAACATTAACCCTTTTCTTGATCTCCTGAAGCCGGTCCACATCTCTGCTCAGAGCAACAGCATGACTGAGAGGTGGTTAAACCAGTTAGTGGGGACGGAGAAACACAAGATATAGATGTATAATTGTTATAATGATAATAATAATACATCTCATATAAAGGAGGTGGCAGATGTGCAAAATAGGTTTTGCTTTATAAAAAGGTCACCTTAGGATCCAGTGGCTCCATCTGATTGGCTGAGCTCTCTGCATGTGAGTGTAACCAGGAAACAGGATCTCAATTTCTCTGAGGTTCAGAAAGAAGTGACAAAAGACACCACAGAGCAACTTTATAAAAGCATAGTTACAAGTAGATATGTGTTTGCGTGTCCCAGTGTGTATCTGTCTTACGCTGCTGCCCGCTCCACCATGGTAGATATCAGCTGTCGGGCATTGTCCGTCAGGGTTGAGATGGCATCTCTCAGCCACAGCCTCATGTCAGTCACGACCTAGTCCACACACACACACAGCCACACACAGCCACACACAGTCAGCTAGTCCTTACAATGTAGTAATACATAATCTGCAACTCCAAATAGATATACAGTTTGAAGACAAACCTGGTCGTTTCTGCTCCTGCCAGTGTGCAGCTTCCCTGCAGGAGCACCAATTAGCTCCTGAAAAAAAAGTGCAATAAAAGGACTATAACATCGCTGATCACAGCCATCACCCATGACCAAAAGAATAAAAAACCCTAAAATTATCCAGAAGTTCCTGGTTGATTGTTCTCCCAAATGCTCCATGTTTAAGTTCACACTTAAAAACACAAGTGTTGTGTTATTCTATTTTTCCCCCTTTATGGTCAACAAATCTAATGAAAAGAGCAAAAGCATTAGCATTTCTATCAATATTTTATGACTCTCCTACATTTTCTGTTGCAATTATGTCAACAGAGAGTGCTTCTTTTTGCCACCAAGAGTCTCAGACTGTTATACCAGGTCATCATGGAAAAGATTCCTATGAGTGACACCCTTTGTTTTTAACAAGAAACTGAAGCCATGCTCAAGGACAATTCTCCATCTGAAATCTCGTGAGAGACGAGTTGTTGCAGGAAGTTTGTCTATATTTGAAAGCATTCTTATTTTACAGAGTTTTTCCACACCTGCCTAAAATCTTTGCACAGTACTGTATTATTATGGGATTCACGTCTTACTTACTCCTGCAGGGTTATGAGGAACAAACTAGCTCTCGCTCACCTTTAGCCTGCGCTCATTGGCAGTATGAATGTCTTCATCTCCAGGTTTGAGCACAAAAACACCTTTGGTCCACTCTTCAGAAATCTGGAGGGTAAAAAAAAAAAAAAAAAGGACCGTATCACTAAGTCGGCTAAATAAACACAGTGCAATGAAATAGTTTTGCTTTAGTACAGCTGTTGCAGCCTGACATTTTTCAGATCGCCAAATGAGGAGTGTACAAATAGTTGTTACTGTTGTAAATACAGTACATGGACCCACTGAATTCTAGGTAGCATTAGACAACAGTGTTAGTGTTTCTGTATTGTACTGGTTGCCCTGCTGTCACTTGCATTGACTAAGTAAAACATCAGGGAAGAGACGCCACCCTGAAAAAAGACCTGACTGTGGGAGGGGGATTACTGGAGCTGTTTGGCAGCTGACATCTGTCACATGATGATATTGTTCACGACACACACACACACACACACACACACACACACACACACACACAGGAATTCTGTGGCATGGCACATTTTCAGCTGTCATCTATTAACAGGCATCTACACGGACACACATGCCCACAATGCAGCAGGAGTGTATTTCCTTGCATGCAAGTATGAGAGAACTGTGATGAGAAATGTGTTGATTATTTTCTCAATTAATCAATTTGTTATTTGGTCTAAAAAATTTCAGAAAATGGTGTGAATCAGTGAATCAGTTCTCCCAAATCCAAAGATGGCGTCAAATGTTTTGTTTTGACCACAAGCCAAAGATATTCAGTTTACTGTCACAAAGGAGAGGAAACATTCCCACACAGGACACAAGGGACGCTTGGGTTGCCATTTTAATAACTGACCAGGGACAACAGATGAAAATGAGCCTATTCTGCTAACTCTGGCTCATTTACAGTTTCTTTGCTGTTAATGAACACTGTCCCTGTCAAAGATACAAAGAAATTAAATAAATGAAATTTAAGAAGCTGGAATCAGTTCCCAAATAATTACTTTTTTAGTAATTAATCGAATTTAATAGTTAGTCACTTAATCGTTGCAGCTCTAATCAGAAAGTTCATAATCATACAGCCTAGTCATTTCATGCTGAAGTGTGGACTTATGATGTAATGAACTTTTAGTTTATTTTCTGTGTGTGTGTGTGTGTGTGTGTGTGTGTGTGTGTGTGTGTGTGTGTGTGTGTGTGTGTGTGGTGTGTGTGTGTGTGTGTGTGTGTGTGTGTGTGTGTGTGTGTGTGTGTGTGTGTGTGTGTGTACCTGATCCAGCCCATGTACAATTTGATTCATCTCCTCGGTAGTGACCAGCTTAGCCTTTTCCAGAGCTTTCACGTAAGCCTTGCTTCCTCGGATGTCAGCATCCCACATCCTCTGGTCATAGGCGATGGACGCATTAAACTTCTCCATGATAGGATCAGTATCTCCCACGAAACGACCTCCCCAAAGTTTACTTCCCTGTCGGACAGAGGGACAGTAATGTGTGTTATTTACACCGCTACATTAATGTTAACGAAAAGACACGTAACAGGCATAATACAGGATCCTCGGTTTGACAGCTTGCGTCAGGGTCCAGCTGGGTGTTAAAACAACAGCACGAGCATGCAGATTGTCGGCTAAACATTAACCTTACCACCGCGGTGAAGTTAGTTTTAAGTTGGATATTCGACAGACATTCACCCAGGATCGTGACGGCTTTTTAGTCAGTTCACCCAGTGACGGTTGTATAAGTGCGGTTAGCTCACCTCTGATGGCTCGCTTTTAACCAACGGGGGTTAGCTTAGGGACCATCAATAAATTACAATTGTGAGAACAGTGTTATGGGAAAATCATTATTTATTTCAATAGCGTCCAAGTCATGTGACACAGGGACTTCAAACCAATGCTGAATTGTAGTACTAGACTAGGCAAATGAGACACACCCCTTCATATTTGATTTGAGTGCATTTTTTATTTTATATGAATATTTATTCATAATTTATGTAAAATAATGCCTTTTTTTCAATAGCTTCCAAGTCATGTGACACAGGGATTTCAAACCAATGCCGAATTGTAGTACTAGACTAGGCAAATGAGACACACCCCTTCATATTTGATTTGAGTACATATTAAAATTTATATTAATATTTATTCATAATTTATTGAAAAAAAGTGCTGTTTTTTTTCAATAGCTTCCAATTCATGTGACACAGGGATTTCAAACCAATGCCGAATTGTAGTACTATACTAGGCAAATGAGACACACCCCTTCATATTTGATTTGAGTGCATTTTTTATTTTATATGAATATTTATTCATAATTTATGTAAAATAATGCCTTTTTTTTTTCCATAGCTTCCAAGTCATGTGACACAGGGACTTCAAACCAATGCCGAATTGTAGTACTACACTAGGCAAATGAGACACACCCCTTCATATTTGATTTGAGTGCATTTTTTATTTTATATGAATATTTTTTATATTTTTTTCTTCAATAGATTCCATTTCAAATGATTCAGGGACTCAAAACCAATGCCGAATAGTACTACTACCTGTTACACATATTACACACCTCTTGTACAACTGCAGTTGTACCACACAGAGTCAGTCATTTTCTTCCACAGCATTGAGCAGATTTCAAAGAAACACTTTATTTACACAACGGACATTCCCAGTTTCCTTTCATTGCCTCTTCATATTGTGTGCTGTCCATTCCACACACTGAGCATGGAACCACCGTTCACAACCATCACACTGGACCTGTGGAATTAAAATAAATCTTTCGTAACATATTATATATATATATATATATATATATTTCAATGTCTGTTGCTTAGATGTAGAGCGGTTGTCCACTACATGGAAGATATATGCCCCCTCTGTATTTGCTCAGAAGGCTGTGCCATTGTTGTGTGAGTGTGTGTGAACGAGTATTAGTTTCTTTCTCATCAGCAGTTGGCACCTTGCATTTATATCTCTGCCATCGTTGTATGAATGTGTGTGTGAATGGGTACCAATAATCTTCTTAGCGGTTATAATCACCCACTGCGGAGCCCTCCTGTCCTGGGCCGTGCACATCCCATGCCAGGTGGTGAAGTTTCCAGTCAGGATGCTTTCTATGACTTCTCTATTAAGGTTGACAAGAATTTGGCAACTCCTCAGGTCAAGACTCTGCAGTCTACTTACATCTGAAGGACAGAGGACACTCGTTTGAGGACCACCAGGTGCACATTTTAGACAGAGAAGATGGATGGTTTGAAAGAGGTGTCAAGGAAGCCATCTACACCAGGGTTGAGAAGCCGTCATTGAACAGGGGAGGGGGTCTACGCCACCACTTATCCCCCACTTACAATGCTGTCCTTTCATCACTTCCCAGGAAACTCAACAAACGTAACCCATTGGCCCATTGGCCTCAGGTGAAGATACCAACGATGGTCGTTCAGTCTTGGCCACAGGTAGTCTCAACGACTGTAACGACTGTCGTCACACCAAGGAACACTAACGAACCAGCGGTATCGATGACCCGGGCCAACGACCCCACTGAGGTTAAATAGCTGAGTTTCCCTGCCAGTCAGTCAGAACTGAAGAAGTCCTTTGGATAAGGGACGAAACGTCTTCCAGTATCTTCAACCAAGTCCAGTTGCCCTTCATTTTAACCCTCGTTGGATACTTTATATAAGTAATAAATTAATTTCTAAAGGAAGCTTAAGAACTCTACATTCCCATGCCAAATTCTTGTCAACCTTAATAGAGAAGTCATAGAAAGCATCCTGACTGGAAACTTCACCACCTGGCATGGGATGTGCACGGCCCAGGACAGGAGGGCTCCGCAGTGGGTGATTATAACCGCTAAGAAGATTATTGGTACCCATTCACACACACATTCATACAACGATGGCAGAGATATAAATGCAAGGTGCCAACTGCTGATGAGAAAGAAACTAATACTCGTTCACACACACTCACACAACAATGGCACAGCCTTCTGAGCAAATACAGAGGGGGCATATATCTTCCATGTAGTGGACAACCGCTCTACATCTAAGCAACAGACATTGAAATATATATATATATATATATATGTTACGAAAGATTTATTTTAATTCCACAGGTCCAGTGTGATGGTTGTGAACGGTGGTTCCATGCTCAGTGTGTGGAATGGACAGCACACAATATGAAGAGGCAATGGAAGGAAACTGGGAATGTCCGTTGTGTAAATAAAGTGTTTCTTTGAAATCTGCTCAATGCTGTGGAAGAAAATGACTGACTCTGTGTGGTACAACTGCAGTTGTACAAGAGGTGTGTAATATGTGTAACAGGTAGTAGTACTATTCGGCATTGGTTTTGAGTCCCTGAATCATTTGAAATGGAATCTATTGAAGAAAAAAATATAAAAAAATATTCATATAAAATAAAAAATGCACTCAAATCAAATATGAAGGGGTGTGTCTCATTTGCCTAGTATAGTACTACAATTCGGCATTGGTTTGAAGTCCCTGTGTCACATGACTTGGACGCTATTGAAAAAAAAAAGGCATTATTTTACATAAATTATGAATAAATATTCATATAAAATAAAAAATGCACTCAAATCAAATATGAAGGGGTGTGTCTCATTTGCCTAGTATAGTACTACAATTCGGCATTGGTTTGAAGTCCCTGTGTCACATGACTTGGAAGCTATTGAAAAAAAACAGCACTTTTTTCAATAAATTATGAATAAATATTCATATAAAATAAAAAATGCACTCAAATCAAATATGAAGGGGTGTGTCTCATTTGTCTAGTATAGTACTACAATTCGGCATTGGTTTGAAGTCCCTGTGTCACATGACTTGGACGCTATTGAAAAAAAAAAGGCATTATTTTACATAAATTATGAATAAATATTCATATAAAATAAAAAATGCACTCAAATCAAATATGAAGGGGTGTGTCTCATTTGCCTAGTATAGTACTACAATTCGGCATTGGTTTGAAGTCCCTGTGTCACATGACTTGGAAGCTATTGAAAAAAAACAGCACTTTTTTCAATAAATTATGAATAAATATTCATATAAAATAAAAAATGCACTCAAATCAAATATGAAGGGGTGTGTCTCATTTGTCTAGTATAGTACTACAATTCGGCATTGGTTTGAAGTCCCTGTGTCACATGACTTGGAAGCTATTGAAATAAATAATGATTTTCCCATAACACTGTTCTCACAATTGTAATTTATTGATGGTCCCTAAGTTAACCCCCGTTGGTTAAAAGCGAGCCATCAGAGGTGAGCTAACCGCACTTATACAACCGTCACTGGGTGAACTGACTAAAAAGCCGTCACTGGATCCTGGGCGAATGTCTGTCGAATATCCAACTTAAAACTAATTTCACCGCGGTAACCTTACCTCTGTACTGGCCATGTTTATGGACGACGGCTGTTGTAGAGGTGTCGTCTGGTGAAATGTTTTGGCAGAAGGGATGTTGAATGTCAACCGGAAGAACTCAATGAGCTTCAAGTCGTCTTGCAATAACCTTGCTGCTTGTACTGAATATGTGTCTGTCTCTTTACAAGACCGAAGACGTTTCACGCGTAACGGGTACGGGACGGTTACTGTGCCGGGTTCCGACCATAGATTATATAAGGTTCCGGGCTAAGATTGTATGGTTCCGACGCAACACAGTAAAATACTGATGTTCTCAACTAAAGAAATTTTAATAAACTGCTCCCAACGCCTTTCCCTTTCCACTCAGCCCTCACTGAACACTAGTCTGCGGTGTGTCACCATGGAAGGCGATCCACAGAGCTTGTCGTCCGTCGTGCACCCACTATTGTGCACCCCCTTCGTCACGATATTTATTACGACAGAAGAGGTGGGGCGTGAAAAAGGCGGAAAACTGTTATTAGTCACAGACAAGGAAGCGTCGAAGTGTCTTTTGTTCGCAAGTTTTTGGTAAGTTCATGTTAAAATACCTTCAACTGCTCCGTTTTGGCTAAAGATGAGACTGTTAAGTTATCTGTGGTCCGTATTGAGTAATGATGTCGCTGAATAACTAGATAACTTGTTGACTAAGACTTCATTTGACTGCTATGTTAACAAAGTGAGTACGTGAATATGATAAATATATTCACGTTCAATAAAACAAACGAAAAGAGTCATGGCCACCACATTTGTTGTGTTATTAGAGAAGTGAATCACAATAAATGTAATATTGATATGCATGCACCAAGTGTTGATTCCATGTGTACTGTAAGTCATTATAAATTGATAAATTTTCTTGCCTTTTCTTCTAGATCAGATACTAAATCACCTTATTTTAGAGTTAAAACGTCTCGTTAAGAAAAATGGAACCAAATCCCAAAATTAATGGACCACTGGACAAGTTTTTCACGGTACCAATCTTCTCATGTCTACTGATTTATATGGGTTCAGCAATTTCATCTAGCTCTGTGCCTCTTATCAAGGAAATCACATGTCAAAAGTCTTGGATGCATTCTGTAATACATTGCTTTTAATAATTAATTAATAATTCTGTCTGTCAGATCAAGAAAGAAAGAGACAACCAGGATGGGCAAAGCAGTCAGCCTCCTAATACACAACCTGTTGCAGAGGTTTGTCATGTTATTTTATATCTATGTTGATACATTAAAGTTAAATAGCAGTGTATCCTACAGAATTAGATTCTATTTGTGGGGGTGGGAGGAATTAACATTTTATCCACGTTATTTTGATCCTCTACAAATAAAAAAGATTTTATACACTTTAAATAGTAAAAAAGGCAACTTCTTATTTTCTTTTTGTTAGTTTGTTTTACTTGAGTATTGCCTTTTGTACTGTTTTGAAATCTTAATTGTGTTTCATTCCCAGGAAAAGGAGCCACATGAAACCCATTCTTTCGAGTGGTGCTCAGGTGACAAGAGACCCACAAACATTACCTGCGATGAAGCAGGAACTGTTGAGGTCGTGCTGATGAGAAGTCTGCAGTTTAGAGAAATTGCAGAAAAGAACAAGAACAAAGAGCTTGTTATTGTAAGAGATGGAAAAGCTATTAGTTCACACTTTCCATGCAACTTAATTGCTTCTAATGAACGTCTGACTGTCAAGTACATTAAAGCTGTAGATAAGCTGAAGCAATCAGTTACTGGTCCTATACGTCTCCAGAGAAAGAGGCCATCTGGCAAGATTGTGATGTTTCATTTACTGACAAAGGGAGGTAAAAATGTTGTGAAAATCATGAGAAACCCAGAACTAAAAAAAGTAATTCAGGAAATTACTGTATACGCATACAAAGGGGAAAAGGTGAAGCAAGCTCTAAAAAGAGATGGTCGTTTACTGAATATCATATTCAAAAAGAACTGTGTGCTTTCTCAAATGAAAACTGAAGTAACCACGGAAATGTCCAATCTTGTTGATGATCTTGATGGCAAAACTTTCCAGATCATACTGCTCAATAAGTCCAGTCCCCCAGAGAGTCAGCCTGGCAGTCTTGATGATGCTGACATGATACAAAATGAATCTCAGAGATCTGACTCTGATGGAAACCAAGATCCTCCACAGCAGTCCACCTCGACTGAGTCAGTGAAAGACAACGAGCCAAAAGAGAAGCCAAATGGTAATATTTCACCAGGCAACATGGTATGTGAAATACCTCATTCAGAAACATTGCAGCGTCACCTGTCTTCACAATTTAAAGATTGGGTGAAAGGGATGAAAACTCAGCCAGGTCTGAAGCTTTCTCGTATCCAGAATCTCTTCCGTGTGGAGTTTGGAAAGAGTGATGAGACCTGCAGGGAAGTGAAAACAATGAAGAAGCTGATGGAGCTCAGTAATTCTGTTTGCCAAGTGAGAACAAAGGGAAGGCCAGAAGGAAGTGGCTTTCTCCTATTTGACAGGTTTGTCCTCACAAATGGCCACGTAGTTAAAAACATTTATAATGAGAGTACAGAGCAGCTCACTGAGAGGCTCACTGTCCATTTCTCTTTTGAAAGTCTAGACCAGATGGAAGAATCGGCAGCAGAAGTGGAAGAGCTTGTTGGCTTTGAACACTATCTCGATAATTCAGGGCACGAGTATGACTGGGCTTTGTTGAAGCTTGGTGCCGATCAGATGTTGCCTGATTGTCTGTTAAAACACTTTGGATTCATTCCACCAAGAGGTGGAATTTGCATTATTGGGCATCCTTATGGCGGTGTGAAAAAGATAGATCCATGCGTGATTATTCAGACTGCGAACCGCAACCAGGTTTTGGAGAGGCATTACCTTGAAAATCCTCAGGGCGTTCAGGTGGAAGGCAGTCATTACAATCGTTCACCCGGGCCCATTCAGTTGCTTACCAATGAGTTTTTTCCGCATGTGGCAAAATCTGTTGAACAAAGGAGACAGGCTCTGACTTATGAGTCTTGTTTTTACTTTGGCTCATCTGGCTCTCCTGTCTTCGATGAGCACTGTAATGTTGTTGCCATGCATTCAGGGGGATTTGCCTACAAGAATGCAAGGGGTCAAAGCCAGAGTGTCATAGAGTTTGGCCATCCTTTGTCCGTCATTCTCGAACGCATCATTGTCCAGATAGTGGAAAGGGAGAAGTTTGACGTGTTGAAGGCATACCTCACTTGTGATTATTCACATCAGCAAAACATGATGACCGGATTGAAGAGACTGGTTGAGAGCAGAAATCCCACCTCGTTTAAAAATGCAGTCAACAATTCGGTGGTCACAAATGATGAGAGTTTGAAGAAGTTCTTTCAATTCCTCTCTCAGACAGAGGAGCCTGTCCCAATGGACACTGATTGACTGTACAGTTACAAATACAACTGGTGACAGGAGACAGTTAAAGCTTTTTCAGCAGTGAGCAACAAAGGCTATCGTGTTTTATTTATCAGGAAACTTTGGTGTGTGTGCAGGGGCTTTGTCGAAAGATGTCATACAAACCATGTTTTATTCATTTAAGCATAATCAGTTTTAGGATAGAGGTGACTATGTTTTCTCAACATTCATTTTTAGCCACATGTATCCATAAATGCTAATTTTGTCCATACTGTATTATTATTTCAACAAATGTCAAATGATTTCTTAAAACTATCTGTAACTTATATTTGTGTGCACTGGTTGAATTTCCAGATACAGATACATCTGTGTTGGGGTAAACGTCATCAGAAAAGTAACAAGAAATTGCAGCGCAGCAGTGCCAAAGATACAGTTACATGTTTGGGGCAATACAGAAACCTTATTGAGAAACATTACATAGTTTGTTCACCAAAAAGCCCTGACTGTTAAGTGTCTTGTTCAGTACATATCATGTTCACAAAGGAGTCAGAAATGTTTGTTTTTTATATAGAGTATCAGATTTCATACCTGATTTTTACCTGTTTATCTTCTGTCTTTAAGCTGTTTTTAAGAAAATCACATTTGAGATATATATATATATTTTTAAAAGAACTGTACAAGATTGGATATTGCAATATTCTGTCATTGTGTTCATACCTTACATAAGGTCATAATAATAAACATTTAATAATAACGATTTATCGATATTCATTAGTGATTTTATTTATTTTTTCATATTTGTGTTTTGATTGCGGCACGATGGCCCGGGAGATAGGACTGTGGCCTCACAGCAAGAAGGCTCCATGTTCTCTGTTTGAACAGAGGAGGGGGTCTACGCCACCACTTATCCCCCACTTACAATGCTGTCCTTTCATCACTTCCCAGGAAACTCAACAAACGTAACCTATTGGCCTCAGGTGAAGATGCCAACGATGGTCATTCAGTCTTGGCCACCGGTAGTCTTAATGACTGTAACGACTGTCGTTACAGCAACCAGGAACACTAAAGAACCAGCGGTATCAATGACCCTGGCAAACGACCCCACTGAGGTTAAATAGCTGAGTTTCCCTGCCAGTCAGTCACAACTGAAGAAGTCCTTTGGATGAGGGACGAAACGTCTTCCAGTAGCTTCAACCAAGTCCAGTTGCCCTTGAATTAAACCTTCGTTGGATAACTATAACCTGGATGACTGAGAATCTTCATAGACATAGACTGTATGGTTTGGGATGGGAGGGTGAGCCAGTCGCTCCGATCTCCTGTCCCTGAAGACTCCAGCTAGCAACAGTAAACATCCTCTACTATGCCACAACAAAACTCATAACACTATTAACTGTCTCATTTTGATGTTGCTAAATTGTAATGTCGTGTCTACTTATAATAATATAACAACGAAACTATGGGAATATGAACCAAGTAGCTAATGAATTATATACAAGTCAGAGGTGAATGTTGTTGTTCAACCACTTTAATGTTACAAAAAATGGGGCTTCCTAATCCCACAGTTGGTTTGATGCCAATACATGTTTGGTATGGTCCCAGCTAACATTAGATAACATGTTAACAAGCTTTTTCCAGAAGCTTGTTTAAATTGTTAAATTTTATTGCCTGCATGGATATAAGTTTTGCTCATTAAAGACATGTGACAGGGCATCATGCAAAACTTTATTATGCATGAGGAGGAGAGTGATGACCAGCTTACATTTGTTGTTTATATTGTTGTATTTAAGTGTTAAGTACAAGTGAATCACAATTAATGTCAAATAGCTGTGGATAAGTCCTGTGAACATTGTGGAGGATTACAAATACCTGGGAGTGCACATGGACAATAAACTTGACTGGGCCAAGAACACTCGAGCCCTTTACAGGAAGGGCCGTCTCTATTTTCTGAGGAGGCTGAGGTCCTTCAACATCTGCCGGACAATGCTGAGGATGTTTTATGAGTCTGTGGTCAGTGCTTGTGGCTGTTTGCTGTTGCATGCCGGGGCAGCAGGCTGAGGGTAGCGGAAGCTGACAGACTCAACAAACTGATCTGCAATGCCAGTGATGCTGTGGGCGTGGAGCTGGACTCTCTGTCGGTGGTGTCAGAGAGGAGGAACTGTCCAAACTACATGTCATCTTAGACAATATCTCCCACCCACTCCATGACGTGCTGCTCAAACACAGGAGCACTTTCAGTGCAAGACTCATCCCCCCAGAGAGCAACAAAGACTGCCGTGTTTTATTTGTCAGGATACTTTCATTGTTAAACACCTACAGAGTGCAGGGTTTGGTCGAAAGATATACAAACCATGTTTTATATTATGTTAATCAGTTTTAGGATAAAAGTAACTCTGTTTTCAATAGTAATTTTCAGCCCCATGTTTGTATTTCTAAATGCTAATCTTTATGCATATGTATTATATTATTTCAGCAATAATTTCTTAAAGCTGTCTGTAAATTATATTTGTTGGTTGGATTTCCAAAAGAGCCCAACTGATCAATAAAATGGCCAATTAGAGATACATCTGTGTTGGGGTAAATGTGATCAGAAAAGTAACAAGAAAATGCAGCGCAGCTGTTTACTGTTTTATTTATTTTATATTATTTATTTGATGAACTTTTTAAAATTAATTAGGCAAATTAATTGATTATTTAAACACACACTTTTGATATTTTATTTATTTTATTTGTTTATTTAATGAACTGTATGAATTTAATTTTTCTTTTCTTTTCTTTTGTATTATCTTTTAATGCAATATTGTTCTTTTGACATTCATGCCAGTAAATTGAAATTACAGCATGTTTGGGGCAATATAGAAAGATTGTTGAGAAACATTACATAGCTTGTCCACCAGAGAGCCCTGACTGTAGGGTCTCTGGTTCAGAACATATAATGTTCACACTTGTGTAATTGCAGCATTTAAGGAGTCTTTATCAGAAATGTTTATCTTTATACAAAAGAAGAGAATATCAGATTTTATACCTGATTTCTGTTTATCTTAAAACTGTCTTAAAACGGTTTTTATGAAAATCACATTTGAGATTTTAATTAAATTTTTGTTTGTGATTTACATTTTAAAACAATTGTACAACATTGGATATTGAAATATTCTGTCATACTGTCGTTGTGTTGATACCTTATATGAGGTCATAATAAAACATTTTTCATTTTTAAATGAGAATCTATAACCTTGGAAATCTGTATGTATGTGCCACTTTATGGAATACAGGTGATACGTGATCATGAAAGTAGACATATTTGTAAGCCCTAATCCAACACAGGAACATATTTGAATGTTCAATTGCCAAATTTGTTATGCACGCAGCATGCTTATAACAAAATAATTATTCTTGATCAAATTTACAGTAGTTTGATAATGATGTACTAGTTTTATACAGCAAAAATGCATTTGGTCTTCTGACAGAAGCATTAAGAAACAAATGTGTCACGTGAAAAAAGACTGAAAAACAAGTAGTTGGATATAAGCAAGGCCACACAAAGCGAGGACATGAAGAATGTTTTTTTATTTTAAACATAGAGTTGCACTTGCTTCCGGCGGAACATTTCACCCGGACTACATTTTCCACACGGGCACAGATACTGCGGACCGAACGACTCACCAGGTGAAATGGAAGTGTAAGAATAAAAATAAAAAATAAAAAGTTTTTTAACAGTGAGTTACTTAATTGTCTGCTTTATATTGTTTAGTTGAACTGTAGATAATCGTGTTGGTTGAAAATACTACAGCGATGTCTTTGCGCAGTTTCCAGTTAATTTATTGATCAGGATGTTACAAACTGAGTGTAGTGACAGCTGGATTTAGATACATTTTTAAGTCTCGGTCAGTGCTGTCGAAAAACACAAAATTACAGTCTGTTTAAAGAGTTAATGAGCAGATTCTAATAGCGAATAAGTCAGCTAAGACAGTGGATGCTGTTGATTGCATATTTGGTTAAGTGCTAGAACAGACCCAAAACACTGAGCCTTTTGTTTTGGTGAATTTATGTTTTAGTGTATGGTTTGAATAATTCACTCAGTGTACTTTGCTTGAGAAATAGCATGCGAACTCTTGTTTTGGCTTTATAAAGTAGTGCTGAAACAGTTAGTAGTTAGTAGTTAACATCGACAGAAATATAATTGTCAACATAAATGCGTAATTGATGAACCATTTAAGTCATTTACAGGAATCTTTGTACCACTTTCTCAAATGTGAGGATTTCCTAGGTTTTTCTCCTGATAATTGAGATAAAATTTTAATATGTTTGGATTTTGGACCCTAGGTACTTGTGGGAAATTGTAATGGGTGTTTTTTAACATTAAAAAGATTAGTTGATAATGAAAAAAATGTTTTGCTACAGTGAAGCATTTGGCATGTTTCCAGATCTACTGTACAAAGTACATAGTAGTGAAAAACAAATGTAATGTGGTTCACAAAATTAAACTTTTTAAAATAGTTTTACATTAAATAAAAACACGACATACATTCTTTTCAGTGCCTTCAGCCACCCTTTATGTTGCCCTATGTGCTCATCTATATCACAACTACCTCATTTAACTCTTATCATAAACACTTTTCTCACTTTTTTTAAACTAAAATAATCTAAACTCAATGGTCCACCATCCATGTTTTGGACCTTTCAGCCACATATTGCAGTCTTCATTCAGTCACTGAAGACTAAGATTTGTTTAAAAGCAACAAAAGCTAGTAAGTTAACTTTTGAGCGTAGAATATTTGGCTACATATACACTTTCCAAAGGTCAAGAATAAAGCTTAAATATAACTTATTTTCTTCTTTTCAGGAAAAATGCTAACTCTGCTATGCTCAGTAACTATGAGGTAAGGTAATGTGTTATGTCCCTCTGTTTTACATTAAATCGCTTTGTACTGTCTGGTCAAGAGATGACAATTATTTAGTGTGTCAATTCATATTTTTCTGTTGTTTCTCAGGTGTTCAAACTCCTCACAGACCTGAAGGAACAGAGGAAGGAAAGCGGGAAGAACAAACACAGCACCGGGCAGCAGAACCTCAACACCATCATGTATGAGGTCGGCACACAGCCTCTCACTCTCTTCACTATCTTAAACCTGCTCTGTGAGCCTCTTGTTCACGTTGACATTTTTACAACAGCATGCCCACAGTTTCATCTGCATTTCCACACAGACGCTGAAGCACCTGTCAAAGACGCCCTGCAGCAGGCAGAGTCCAGAGATCGTCAAAGATTTCCTCACCACCATGATGCCTCACAAACTCACAAAGTCAGTAAGATCCAACAGAGACATATATTTTATATTCATGGTTTTATTTGTCATTAGGAATAGATTAAATCAGATGCACCATATTTATTTAAGATAAACACATTCTGTGCACCGTATGTTGAGTACAGAAAGTCAGTATATATACTCGCTGATATTTTTCCCCCATCAGGGCAGAAAAACTGCAGCTCTTGAACCACCGGCCACAAACAGCTGTGGAAATTCAGCTGGTGAGTGGTTTATTCAACTGTCATCAATTACTATTATTACAGTTTACCTCTCATCTGTTTCCTTTATTCACTACTGGTGTACATTTCGGGTACATGATTGTTGTTTCACACATATATTGTGGTAGAAATGAACCGATTCTTTTTATCCCACACACATAACACAAAAAGTCCCAAATCAACAATGAACTGATCCTACTAACAAGTATTGTACGTATAAAACAATAAAAAAACGTTTTTCCTTAA